AGGTTTCATGGTGGGGAGCACGCCAGGGTTTTGAGCACACCACCTCTTTACAGGCATACTTAGAGAGAGGTTGTCCAGGAGGGACATGCACAGTGACTGCTGTGTGTTCACAAGTAGGCACAGTGTAGGGGGGTGATGGAGGCGGGACAGTGCTTGGGGCAGGAAACCACTTCGAGGTAGTTATAAAAGATCTAGGTGAGGCTTGATCCTATGGCCTCCCATCTCCCTTCTTTTACAGTTCATATTCCACCCTCTCAAATCACCTGCAGAGTCCCCCCACTTGGGAAGTTATCCATGGCTCTGGGCCAGTGTTGCCTGGGGTTGGGGGTGAGCAGCCTGGAGGGCGAGGCCCATTGCCTGTGTCAGGGCCATAGGTGCCACCTGAGTCAAATTCTGGGTGCTAGACTCAGATGGGTTCTGCAGAGTGAGGGCTACTGGTAGGTAAATAACAGGTGTACATAGGCAGCATCAGGCAACACATGTCTGCTGAATGGGAGACCCATCATCAGGCAGAAAAGGACTCCAGTAAAAGACTTTAATTCCCATGCACACCACGTGCACACAGCTCTCACCCCCACTCACTGTTGGACTCATGGGAACTCTGAGCCCCTCCAGGACAGCAAATGCTGAGCAGACAGGTAGAGGGACAGAGAACCAGCACATTATCTCCAAACAAGGACCAATAACCCGGTCTCAGGGGTTACCGTGAGCTAGATGAGAGGCTGGTTGGGAGTATCCTGTAACCCCCTTCTGCAAGTAGCAGTCCTCATATGCCAGGGCGCTGGTGCCCAGCTCCCTGACAGTAATGTAATTTAGAATTAGGGTGAACTCACCGGGCTGCCCATTCTTATATAAGATGTATTTATTCATTCATTTAACTTCTGTTTCTGGGTGCCAGAAAATGTATCAAGCACTGACATTACAAAGTGAGTATGGCAATGCTGGCAGTATATTTAACCAAAGTTAATTTCACAGGTGAATAGTGAAATGATCACTCCACCAATAAGCTTTTAAAATTGGGGTCTGTTTTTTTTTTCTTTTCTTGAATGGGAAGTTGATTTTCTGTAAGAGGAAATTTACATGGATTATAAGGGCATAACAGTTCTGAGAGGAGCTGCACTTGTTCTAAGCCTTGCTGACCCCCTTGGGTCTGAAGGGAGGGGACCTCAGATTAGAAAGAAGTTAACCTATGACCAAGAGACAAATGAGAGCTGATCCCAGCCACCGGATCCCAAAGCTTCCCCCTCTACAGCCTGGAACACAAGGATGGTATGTGTTCTAGGTGCATCAGCACGTTTCTGGCCTGGGGAAGTCACCACACTGCCTGGCCCGCAAACCTGTGAGCAGGTGAGCACCCACTTCTACTTCAGGAAATGCCACGACCCTCCTCCCTATCACGGCCGGAGCACAGATACAAACATACCCACAAAGGCAGGCCTATGTACAGGCCAGCAGGAGGCCAAAATACAGAGCCAGGCCAGGGGGAAGTGGGCAGAGTACCCAACAGCAGCACTAAGAAGGGGGCTGTGTGCCGGTGAGCCCCTGTTTTGACTCAAGAATGTCCCCTTTCTCTGTGCTGCTGCTGGTCAGGCGCCAGTGTGAACAGGGCTCTGGAGCACATGCTCTCCTTTCACGCAGCACTGTCTGCAGCCCCTGAGACACACAGGCCAGGGGGCTTGAAATTATCTGTGTGAGAGTAAAGGACCGAGGTCTACAAAGGCATCTCTATGACTTACCAGGAGCAGAAGTCACAATAAAGCCATACTATAACAAAACCAGCAACCTGAGCTCAGAGACGCCCCTCTGCCTACATAGGTAGGCTTACCCAGCTTGCCTCCCACCCAGCATTACCCAGTCGTCCTTGAGACCCCCCGCCCCTGCCCTGCCCCTTCAAGAGAGTTGCTTGCAGCCTGAGCTCCCCACACTGATTTCGGGCAGGATACCCTCCTGGCCAGAGGTGCAAATCCAGACCTGGTGTCATCACTGCACTGAGGAGTGAAGGACTCTTTTCTTCTAAAACTGCTGATGATTTCCAATAATAAATTGTTCTTTTCAGAAGCAACAAATTTTATTGAGGTAACACTGGTTCATAACCTAAGTTTCAGGTGTGCCATGTCATCACTCCTGATCTGTATACATTATTACATGGTGACAACCAGCTGAAGTTAGTTTCCATCCATCAACATGCAATTGACCTCCTTTACCCAATCTGGGCTATTTGTTCTTATTGTACTATTTTATTGGACTTCTTTTTATACTGCATCATTCCATCTACCCACCCTCAAGTCTAGATCCGGAGGAAAGGAGCAATCCTGCTCAATACCAGGCCTCCCTTCCAATTCCCTTATTCATGGTCCTTGGCTCTGGCAGGAGCATTGGCAGTCTCTACCTCCTGGACAATTTTCCCTCACAGATTTGACTTGAAAAATTAAGGTGTGTCCGCTGGGCCCAAACATTCATGGATGGTAGAGTGTCATTTAGGTCTGGAGGCCACGGCCAGTACTAGTGGACATAGGCATTGTGTCAAGAGGTCCTTAGAACTCTCATAATATAAACTGCTCCACCGTATGTCAGCGGAGACATCCTGGGCAGGCCGGGACGTGACCCATCCTCAGGGCCACGCAGTGTGGGTGGTCACTATGGGACCCGGGTGCCATTTTGTTTCGTAGGGCCAGTAACTTCCAACTGTGGAATGCTATGCCTCTTTGATTTGACCTTTTGTTGTAAATGGCTTTAACATTCTGCTTCTTTTTTTTTTTTTTTTTTTTTTTTTTTTTTGCTTTAGGCAGGCAGAATTCCCTGAAAATAAGCACTTAAACACCAGAGTGTTGTGCTGTTCAGATGTATTTTCCTGGAGAATACTGCTAAATATGCAGTATTTCACAGATTGGCCCATGAAGTGTCTTCTGTACTCTGGGTTCACAGGAGGACTGGTTCTGGATAACATCTAAATGGTGATCCTGAACAGAAATGTTGAAAGGTGCTCTATGGGATTAAATAAACCAAATCCACATGCCCCTCCAGGAAAGAATCACCACCGGCAGGGAGGCATGACCTTCTGTATAAGCAACTTTCAGTTGTTTGCTTGGGTTATTTTCTCTAAGCCTAACTGCATGGTGGACTCAGTTTCCCTAGTTCCACTCCCATGTATTTTTTAGAAGTCAAGTCATCCGATCAAGATTACTTGATTTGTATGAGAGGAATAGTGTTTTCCTTTTACTATCAGTGAATGTCTGCTATAAATTTGATGTGCTATTTGCTAGCAGATTAAGGCAATTTCCCTTAATTTGCTAAGTTTGCTAAAAAATGCTTTCCAAAATCAAGAATGGAATTAAGATTTCTTCCAATTTTTTTATTGACTTGTTCATAGAATTTTCTTTTAGTCTTATTACCAAGACTTACTTTTATACATTATACATTTAATACATTAATTTTATAATGCTAAACCAATTTGGCATTCCTAGGATAAACCCTACATAATCATGATATATTATCCTTTCTACAATGCCAGGAAAAACTGTGAAAGTTTTTGAAACAGATCAAAAGGATAACTTGGGACTTTAGATGGAAAACTATAGAAATTTTATAATTTTAGGTTTTCTGATTTTATGGGACCTGTACATTTCATAGTGTTTGAACTATTTCAAGCCATGTAAACTGTTAAGTAAATGATAGCAATGCAAATGAACCATAATTAGGCATGCAAGCTAATTCTGCCAAGTGGAGGCATAACCAATTCTTGGTAAAAGCCAATTTATCATCTCTATTCTTTCACCTCCAGAAATGATGTTGCTATTAGTTCTAAAAAAATTCTTTAACACATTAGAGTTTCAGATCTGATAGTTGTATTAGATACCTTCTAAGATTCTTTCTAATGGGGTTTCTTTCATTATGAGGTCATTATTTACTGCTTTTTGACTGTCACTGTAGACAAATTGAGTACTCCACTGAGTAATCCATCACTGTTGAATACCACTGACCTGTTTTGTACTTAATGGATACTTTCCAAATCTCCTGGTTCAATTACTCAAATCTCAAGATAACATAGAAGAAAATTAATTTTTCCCAGATCTTAAGAAAAATTAAATATGAAATGAAACTTTTTTATTGAGAGTTACTTAGGCATTTCCCTTTGTTTTTTTTCAATAAAAATAAATTACTGAAGTGACCTTTGAGTAGTAAATATAAAATTGATTATTCAATAATGTTCTAGATATATGGGGGTGAACAGTCGTAAGAAAAACAAATTATTAAGACTTACATAAGAATAAAACCTTCTGTATCTTCTGTACTCTGAAAGGCTTTTAGACTAACATGTAAGCTCATTAAACATACACAACTTTTAAAATATATATTTAAAGTTGAAAGTTAATGTTTTTATGTTTATGTTTAAATACTTTTATTTTTTTATTTTTATTTTTTTAATATTTTAAATACTTTTAAAGCACCTCTAAATAAGTGTTCATGCACCCACAGAAGAGTCAATGGAAGTTTCATATTTCTATCCTGGGCAAAGACTGATTTAATGTTGGTATGAAACAATATTTCAACTAGTCAAAGTTTTACAATTTAGAATATATTTTCCAAAGATTAAATTAAAAACAACTGCAATCAATATATCCATATTTATGTATTTAATGTCCCTGAAAAATTAAAAATTAGTCCAACTACAAAAATATGAGACACAATATGAGGCACACATTTAAGAAGAGACATGTTTACCATAAATAATTGTGGAATTTTCCTCTATAGTAACACTTCAAGGCTCAGCTATAAGAACACCTCACGCAATACATAGTAAATATTTTTATTTAAATAATAACACAGAATCATTCTCAGGAATATAATACATCACACCTGTTATCATACGATTATAGAAATAAAACTAAGGATACAAATATTAAAGGTCAATAATCAAAATTAAATTAATGTTTAGCACAGACTATTATTTATATGAACAATGTAAATAGGTAGAATCATCAATTTGATTCAGTATAAAATACACCTTTGGCATATAATTATTTTTAAAATGAGAATTATCAATTATTATTCAATCAATTCAAGTATTTCTTCAACCAAGGGAATAAAATAAGCCTCTCAAAGTGAAAAAATTGAAGATTTACAGATTAATATTAGAACGTTTTTTCAATATTAATACATAGAAAATTCTGATCTCCACTGAATTACACTGAACAAAGGTGAATTGCTTTACAGATCATCAAGTATAACTGATCACCAAAATTCCACTGTAACTGCAATGTTAATAAGATGCATATATTAAATATTAAAATATTTTAGAAAATAGAATATGAAACTTTTTATTTTCAAAACTATGAATTTAGTTTTCCAAAATCTGGTTCCCAAAGCCAACTTCTAAATTTTACAGCAGAGGGAGGTAAGGCAGTAATGGAAAAAGATGATTTAATGGAACTCTGAAGAAAAAAAAATAACTATTCTAGATCTTAGTTTAAAATATATACCTGGTGTAAGAGATACTCAAAAGTATGTAACAATGCATATATCAAAGTTCACTGGTTATAGGGCAGAGAGTAAGAGTCAAGTAAAATGGAATATTTACTTTTAACAAAGCAGACTGACTAATATGTTAAGTGTCAGGGTGGGATAGGAAAGAACACAAGCCAGGCAAAAATTTCCTCTTGGACTTTCTATATAAACATCTATTTTAGTTTTGGACTGTCCACAGTGCACTCATGTGATGGAGAGGATGAACACTGTCCACCCATGAAATGCTTCCCAGACCAACAGGTCCCTGCCCAGCTCCTCTAGAAAGGCAGTTCATCCTCTGAGGCCCCAAGGGCCCCCTAAGAGCACTACAGCATAGGGAAATGAAATCCAGTTAGCATAGACAGTTGAAATCCACCCCAATTGGACTCTTTAGTGAACTGAGTTATTCAAATACCAGCTAAAAGCTTGAAAATATGGATAAATATCTGTTTTGAAAACATCCGTAAGAGATTACAATATGATTCTGCAGTTCACTGGTCCCATGTGTCCCAGACTAAGGACACTGTAAGGTCCTGGAAATCCCAGCTCTCTTTATCCATCTTTCCAAATAACATCTTACCGAATATAGTTTATGTCCTTATGAGTTCTGTAATCCCTTCAACCAAAAAGGTTGCAATTATTTTCATGTAACTTTTGTTTTACTGAGAGAGGGTATTTTGAAATCATCTATTAAGATCAATGAGTAAACACTACTGACTCCTACGAAATGATGCTACCTCATGGAGTTGCCAGTAAGAAAACCAAATCATACACCAAGAAAGCACATTGTGCACATCAGTGAAGCCCTTCAGCACAGCTTAAACATGTTCTTTATGAGGAGGCTCCAAGCCACATGGTAATTTCCAGTGTGATGCAATAGAAGCCTTTCTTACTTGACAGTCTGAAGCTTCTTAAGAACTTCAAGCACGATTTTAAAACAAAAGCAATACTGCTCCTATATACATATATATGAAAAACAATGGAATGTTAACTGAATACCAATAACAACTTTCAGAGAACACATGCGTAATTTTAAACCACAAAGTTCTTGAAAAGAACAAATAATTAACCAGTTAAGTGAAGGCTTAAGTAAACAGAGGGGGAATTTCCTCTCAATTTCAATCTCCTAATCTCATCTCTGGATAAATCAAATTTCATCTTTTTTTTTTTTTTCAGATGTAGCCTGAAGTCTCTAGGCAACCTTAGCTTAAATAAAACACGTCAGGCCTCCCTGGTAGCTAGGGGTTAAGTCTCAGCGCTATCACTGCTAATGCCTGAGTTCGATCCCATCCAAGGAACTAATAACCCACATATGGCACAGCAGACCTCTCATGTCTTGCCCACTGTTCCCCTTATCAGTGTATTTCAGTAAATCCACCTGCTCTGCTCCCCACTCTGTCTCTGGTTGTTTGATTTGAATCCTCTCACCCCCTGTACCTCTGGCCTACACCCCAGTTCTTCAATGCATAAATAAATCTAAAAATAAATAAATAAAAACTTCATATCAATCAGCACTGGCCTAAAAACAGGTCAACTTTTCTATAAAGATTTAAGGGTATCTGCCTGTTTTCATTATCCAAACTCTCTTGACCCCTCCTCCCTTTGTTCCCACTGATGAATAACTAATCCGTGACATAGCGATGCCTCTTTATGACTAGCCAATGACTAATATTTTAGTGATAAGTAATTATCCCAGATTGCTATCTAGAAATTTAAGAAAGTAACTTCAGATGTATTACTTAAATAGCATGGCACTATGGACAGACGTGTCTGGGGATCAGGAGACCAGTTTTAGTTTTGGCTCTGCCACTTGCTATCTAAGTGATCTCATGAAACAGATTTCGTTGCTCTGAATGTGAAGTACTTCATCAATAATATCAGAGCAAAACTAGGATCTACTTAAACAATGAGAATTCAATCAGACCATATGGGTAAAAGAGCTGAACAAATTGTAATACACAATACACTCAATCATTTATAGTCATTACTCTTCTTACTGGAATTTGTGTGGTGACAGCTTACCTTTGTTTGAATCATGCCACGACGCTGTTCTCTCATCTGGGCCACAATATTCCAGATATCAAACTGCAACAGAATAACAGTAATTTCGTATTGTGAATAATGGGGAAAAACTCAACCCCACAGATTGCCAAATGAGTACTCCATACTGCCTTCCAAAAGAGATGTCAGGATTTAACCAGAAAGGTCTCATTTTCAGTCATAAGAACATGTGCTATTTTTAACAGTCTAATGGATAAGGAAAACTCATTTAAATGGGTTTTCAGGAAAAAGCAGGAAGCAATAACTTAAAATAAGAATTGCTCTCCAAAAGAAATAACAACAAATTTGCCCTTGTGTGTACCTTCCTGCTCTCTAAGGGGAGAGCTTAAAGCAGCATTGCAATTCTGGAAAAGTCTGAAGCAAAGAAGACTTTTTCTGGCCACAATAGTAACACAGCTGTTTCTCATATAAAGAGTCCTCTCAACTCAAATGGAGACCCTGAGCAACAGTTGGCCCCAAACCAGATTCTGCACCTGCACGTGGAAACCAGCACTACCAAGTGTGGTCAGCACGCTGAGCACATCCATAAAGAGCTGTCACTTGTCCACAATGAGATGAGTCCAGAAACTGGTAGTGTTTAGAAACTGTCATGGCAATCTCACTCTGGCCCTGCACTGAGCAACATCCCTATAGAACAGGACAGAGAGCATCTCAGGTACTGCTGGACTTTCCTGGAGAATCCCGTATAGTACCAGCTGGAAGACCAACCATATGTAATAAGACCATGTTGACACCTTCTATTTTAATACTTATCAACTATAAGCCAAATGTATATAAAAATTGAAGTATAAGCATGCCTTTATTTTTATAGCTTGATCAATTTTAATAATTCAAGGTTTTAATTAAGCCTTAAATTTTTTATATTGAATTAGAGATTTTTGCTGCATTGCAAAAAAAAAAAAAAAAAAAAGGAACTGAGAGATCCTATGCATCTTTCATCCAGCAATTATACCATCTTTTATAACTATAGTATAATATCAAAACCAGGAAATTGACTGTGGTACAACCTCCAGAGTTCGTTCAGATTTTGAAGTTAACTCAGAGTTTATTCAGTTTTACATGCAATCATCTGTGAGTGTGCATGTATGTGTTATCATGTGAAGATTCAGATCTGCAACCACATCGAGTTATATAACTATTTCATCACAAGACTTCATGCTATTCGACAGAACTAATCTGTTCTCCATCTATGGTTTTATTATTTCAAGAGGATTATATGAATGGAATCATGCAATAGTTAGCCATTTCAGATTATTTTTTTCACTCAGCATACTTGCGTTCAGATGCATCCAAATTGTGCCTGACAATAGTTCATTCCTATTTACTGCTCAATAACACTCCATGTTTTTATATATATATATATAATAGTTTGTTCATCAGCGTATTGAAGGACATCTAGGTTGTTTCCAGCTTGGGGTTATTATGAATACATCTGCTATGAATGTTTGTGTACATGTATTTGTGTGAAAATAAGTTTTCATTTCTTTGCGCTAAATACCCAGGAGTGCTATTAGTGGGGTTACACAGTAAATTTGGTTTAGTTCTTTCCTTAGGGAAATTATAAAACTCTTCCAGAATGGGTACACCATTTACATTCCTACAAGTGATGTTTCTTCAAATCCTCTCCAGAAATTGGTGTTATCACTAGGTTTTAGATTAGACTTTCTGACACAATCTAGTAATACTTCCTTATGGGTTTAGTTTCATTTCCCTAAAGGCTAATGAAATTGAGCATCTTTTCGTGTGCTTAGTTGTCATCTACATTTGTCATCTCTTTGGTGAGCTGACTGTTCATACCTTGCTTGTACCAATGTTCTGAGTTTTTTTTCACTTGTTTGTTTTATTTTGTTTGTTTTTGCTACTGAGTTCTTTATATGTTCTAGATGCAAGACCTCTGTTGGTTATGTGGATTGCAAACAGTGTCCCCAAGTCTGTGTCTACTCATTTTATTCATACAACCGTTTACAAAATAAATGATTTTAATTTGCTTTTCCTCAAATATCAGTGATGGCAAGAATGTCTGCCCTCACTACCTATATTTAACACAGCACTTAAAGTTCTGAGTGGCACAATAAGGCCAGACAAAGAAACTAGGGCAGAAAAGGAAATGAGGCATACAGTTGGGAAAGGAAGAAATAAACATGTCTCTATTTACAGATGGAATTATTTTCTATGCAGAAAATCCCAAGGAATATAAAAGCAAAAAAAGGAAAAAAAAACATAAAAACCTCTTAGAAACAGTAAGTTCAATAAAATCACAGCATATACAATAAACACACAAATATCAACCATTTCTTCATACTAACTATGAAATCATGGAAACTGATGGCAAAACAAAATAATTTGCAACTCCTCCAAAGAAATGAAATAAATCTAATAAAGCGAAATACAGAATCTGTATGCTCAAAATCACAAATGTTGAGGAAAGAAGATCTAAATAAATGAGAAGACAGACCGTCTTTTCTTAGTGATACCACAGCTTGAGAAATTCAGGAATTGGTTAATGATAGAGTGGTGGTACCCACTTATGTAACAAATTAAAGTAACAACGTTTTCACCATTGTAACTTAATGCATAGATAGTGCTAATATACTGATTTTTTTAATATTGTGTAATTTGAACATAATGTGATAAAAAGAGAATTCTTTCTTTTTCCAATTTGGTTACTGACAAACACAACCAGTTCTAAACTGTAGAAAAAAGCAAAGTACTACGTTGACAACAAATGTGATTTGGATCTTAAATGTTGTATTAGGATTATATTCTGGTTGTAGAACTACAATGACAAGTGAACATCAGAGGTTTAGTTACACAGATGTAGGACTTTATACTGGATAATCAATATACTGCTTCATCAAAAAGGTCTTGTTACAAAAAAAAAAAAACAAGAAAAAGAAAAACCCTGCCAGATAAACCAAACAATGGTAATAGTAAGAATTTTGTGTGGATTATTCGCTTCATTATATGATGATAATATTGTTACTGACAGTAACTGCCATTGCATGCTGAAAATGGTTAGAAGAGAATGTTTCATGGATAATGTTTGAATTACAGAGCAATCTCAGTTTTCTCTTTGTCAGTTACTGTCTCTGCAAGATAATGTCTCTGCAAGATAAGGATCACTTTTATTCTCAATGTTTTAAGGATTTTAAGCAGGTTTTGATTGAAAATAATTTTGGCAATACACATAACAATAAAAAGAAATAAATGACTACATATTCTCAGATTTTCATATCCTTGGAATTATAATTCATAAACTAATCTTAAAATATCATGGGTCACGACTCATTCGAGTTCACACAACTGGTAGTCAGCTTGCAGCATGGAGACCCCCCCACCACATACGCTCCACAACTGGCAGACTGGTCTACACCCTACTAAACAAGACCAACCCACTGGTCATGCTCTCAGATGTCACAGCAATACACCAAATTGCTTTCAAAGTTCCTAAATGCTTACTCTCAATTTCTATAAATTTATCTTGCTGCAGATAACAAACATCCACAGATTAGTGCTGGTCCAAGACCTTATTTTGAGTAGCTCTGGTGGACAAAATTTCTGAAAAGAGTAGAGAGGAACACCTGTAAGAACATTTGACAGTTTAAAGCTCAATGGAGAGCCAATAAGGAAACAGGATTTATTTCCTGTTTTTGAACCACTGTATTTCATCAAATCTAAGCATCCTCATTATAGAATGCACCATACCACTAGAAAATACAGCACCAATTAAACTCACATTTACTGTGGACCTACTATGTTCCAGACACTGTCCAAAACCAATCGCTTGCACTTTGTATTTAATCCTCACAACCACCTCCAAGAACCTGCAGCAGTTAAATACCAAAGCAGTTAATCTTTCAGAAGCAGGTACACAATGCTCACAAGTTTTCTATTCACTAAATTGTTTTCGAAGGTCACATACTGTCTTCAGGTACTAGAAGGCTATTAAGAGTAGTGTGTTTACGAACACTATCAGTGTATCTACTTAGTTCACACTTACTGGAAAGTTCTTTTCAATGGCACATAACACAACATCCACACACAGGAGCACCCCTGTCCGGCCCACGCCAGCACTGCAGTGAACAATCATGGGTCCTGTATGGTGGCTCTTCCTCACGTAACGAACATACTTTATAAAACCATCTACTGAGTCAGGAGTGCCATGGTCTGGCCAGTTGGTGAATTGCAATTGTTTTACAGAATGACTCTTTCCTGTCTGTAGAGAGAGAGCAGAAGAGAAGGAGGGAGAGGGAGGGGAAAGATTTATCAACTTCTTATAGTAGAGATCTGATTTCAATTTCTAATATGTATCACTACTAATACCACTAATAAAAATATCTATATGGTAATAAAAATAAGAATACTACCAGGTAACACAAATCGAGCACTTATTATGTGGCAGGTAGTGTCACATAAGGCTTCACATACATTATGTCACTTAATCCTCACACCAATGTTGAGAAGTAGGCACTATTTTATCCTCATCTTACAGATGAGAAAATAAGGATTAGGGTGACTAGGAGGTGGGTGTTAGGTCAAAGGGCTCTCAAATGTGTAGAGCTGGGACAATAATGTAGGCCTCCTGCATCCATGAGGCTGCAGAAAAACCAAGAATCTGAAAACCTTAGAATGAAAGGTGGGTTAGCATGTTAAGAATAAGATAGAAAGGCAATCTGTTTTAAATATTATTCTAGCAAATTTAACTATAACATAAAGGTGCTGTCAGGTTGCTTGATGAGGTGGGGAGAGGAGGTGTCTGCGAAGGTACCAACCTCCTCTGGAAATGAGAATAGGGTGGTTAATGGCCAGCTAAGTTCCCACTCTTACACTGAGGGCCCTGGAAGTAGAGTCATGAAACCACCCTCAGGAGAAAAAGGACTTTGACTTTACCCACCATCATCCCTTCCAAGAGATCACCCATTGTCCAATATAGAGTCCTCACTAAACTTCACTCGGGCCCCTTATGGGAAATCCAAACATCTACTCTGCTTCTCCCCAGTGCACCTCCTTTTCCTAAGTTCCAAATAGAAGTAAGCTATTTTAAACCCCAAATAGAAAACTAAAGTTTGAATCCTAGTACGTGAGGATGAAAACAATACTTGAAAATCATATGATGGTACCAGGTTTAGGATAGCTCTTACTCTACCAAATATTAGCAATGAAATTTCTCCTAACACTGTTGCCCACTGAGAATCTGCACAAAGGTAGGACTTTCCACTTTCCTGACTCAGTTTCATGAAGACTGAACCCCTGGCACAGATTTACTCATGGTTTTGAGGCATGTGGGTCTCAGCCTGAAGACCACCATTCTAGACTCCCATTCCAGGGCTCCACAGGTAGAGCCCAGAATTTGAATCCTGGAAGACAGAACATTCCTTTGTTCCTCCTACCTCACCTATATTCTCCCAGCAAGCTGTCCTCTACCCTAGCATGAACCAAACATTTAGAACTGATGTGTTTGGTGCCTTCTTCCCCACTAGACAGTGTAGTACTCTAAAAGTTGAGATTGTATTTTCTTTCTATCTCCAGCACCTGGCACAATACCTAGTTAATAGGATGCAATCTGCAAGAACTAGAGGAGTAAGGACCAGGTCAATTTCCAGGTGTACAAAATAATAGTGTCTAGCACATAATCAGCAAGTTCTCCAATCATTATTATTGGCCCCCCTGGTCACCACTCTGTGCTCCAGGTCCCCCACCTTTCAACCTCCCTGCTCCTCTATGTCCTCAACTTCTCATTCTGCACTTAGGACTCCATCCCATAATAAAGCCTCTTTCCTAAATGTTTCTTCCTTGCCTAGTCTTCCGCAGGCACAGCACTCCCTGCCCTCTCTAATCGACGTCACCTATTCTGCTGTGTTCCTGGCACTGCAGAACATAGAGATTCAATTGAAGACTCCTTGCTGCCCATCCCTATTTCCAATTCATTATTTCTTCTTTTGTATAAAAAACCCTCTTACCTCTGAGTTTCATACCGCTTAGCTTCATCTTCCCGATTTTATCACTAAAGGGGTAAATCTTCCAGTTGACCTGCCACATTCACTGGAGATTCTGATCTTCTCCCTTCCACAAACTCTGACATCATCCAGAGCAAATTCACAGTCTCAATAGCCCAAGAGCTACTCTAAACTCACAGCAGTTTTCTTTCTTGAAGAGAAGACCACTCCTATGTTCTAGTCTCTATAGTGACAGTCACTCCTGGGATTTACCATCACTTCTAATGTCCTGTATCAAAAATCTTCCAGGTTCTTAAACCCCAATATCTCTCCTGACCAGAAGGACATGTCTACTACTGCCTGATTTATGCTTCATTTCAAGTGTAACAACAATGTAATCAAGTGGAGCTCTCCTGCCCCTTATATCCTCCATATATTTCTAGTTGACTAATGCCGGATTCCATTCATCTCCCTAATAAATTTAAACTACATGCCTAATCCCAGTCAGCCTGCCAAGAAGAATATATTAACATAGATGCATATTTTATTGCTCTTACAAATTGATGGGTTCCAACCTCAGTAACCCTTTTCCTGGTCAATGTCATCACTCCATTCAACATCTTTGATGATGATGCCAAATCTCATCACTCTTTTTAAGTTTCCTATATAATTTCCACCCCCTTCACGCCACTGAACACATGCATTACCTACCTGCTAATCCATCCATGTAGGCCAATGTAACTCATCACTGTAGGGTAAGGAAAAATGTCAGGCTTTTCTGCCCTCCTGCCATCAGGATAGATGATGGATCCTTGTGGTCTTGAATGCATGCCTGATGGCGGGCACCCGGAGTAGGCTGTGGGCCTAAGTGGATGGGATTCACCTGGGCTAAGACTGTGCTTTTAAGGGAGGCGTCACAGGGACACCAGCAGAAGCAGAAAAAGCCGAAAGAGAAGCCGAGAGAGAGAGATCACCGGAGAGCCCAGATAGAGTGAAGACTTGCTGGGGGCTGGGAGGCCTGCCAGACTCCTGGCCCCCCAGCACCCCTGCCTGCTTTGTACCGGGTAAATCCCAATAAAAGACCTGCAAAAACCACTGAGGACTCTGACTCCTCCTTTACCCGGTCTGCTGGATCAGAAAACCTGCTCAGTGGCCCATTCCTGGCCTTACAATCACTTTCTCCTAAATACCATTCCTTTTCTATTTCCCAAATCTTTCAGAGCAAGACATCTTATTAATTATACTAGACCACCAGTCCTCAACAGAACATTCTACAATGATGCAAATGTACTATATCTGTACTGCCCAACATGGTAGCCACTAGTAGCATCTGACTAAACACTAGAAATGTGCCTCTGAAAGTGAGGAACTGAATTTGCTATTTCATGTAAATTTAAATCATTTAAATTTAAGTTTAAATAGCCACATGTGCCTACTTATTGGATAGCATACTTTTACCACTCCTCCTGTCACTTTTAAGTTCATAAGTCATGTCACATTTAAGTCTGCCAATTTTACCTGAAAAACAACAAATTCTCTGATTTACATCTCACTACCAACTGATCATGTTACCTTCTTACCTTCAGTATCTCCCAATTACCTTCATGATAAAGTTCATTTTTGCTCCTTAGCTTAAATCCAAGACATTTCATGCTGACTGCTCCCAGTTTACTTTCTATAGCTCATCATCATATCTCGTTACTCCCTGTCATTGAACTTTTACATTCCAAAGACATTGAATTAGTTACATTTCTCTATATACATCTCATGTTATTTTATATCTAAAAATTTACTTCTTCTTTCCACATTTCTCCTTTCGATAATTCTCACTCAGTCGTTGCCTTGTCCAGCAAACATTCCCCCAAGTTCCAAGTAAAGCTAAGTAATTCCTTTCTGAATCCCCAAAGCACCCCATACAAATGTCAATATTACCACTGAGATCAGTATCAGTTCCACTAACATCAGTGAGTATATCAGACTCTCCACAGTCAGTAGAGATAGTACCTGGCACAGTGATTAGCATACCTAAGGGAATGAATTATATCTCATACTCAGCAGAAGTATCCCAGGATTAGGCAACTTTATTCTCCCTGCCCCAGCTCTCCTTTTTAAGTTTTTAATCTCGCTAGTCAGAGTTTGGCTAAGCAGAGGTGGTCGTGTCTTACTTTCTGGTACAAAGAAGTAAAAACAAGTTACTTAAAAATGTATTCCCAGTCTATATCCCATTCTACTTCTAACTGCAACACCTGATATGTGTATTTATATAAACGCTACACATATATAATACTTATTTTTTTAATAAAACTTACAGGCTTCCTCACAACTTGAAATAGTCGAATGATGAAATATTGAAGTATCTGGTATTTTTCCAGGAAGATACGATAGTTTTTCAATTCCAATGGCATTTCCTTAGAAATGGGCCAGTAACGCTGGCATTTGACAACTCCACATTCTGTCTCTCTGGTTATCATGACAATAATATTAGAGTTATTTTCTAAAACCATTTGCCAAAAGTCTTCTATGGTTTCTGTCAGTGGTCCTTGGGTAGCAATATAAAAATACTCTTCTTCAGAATTGACTATTCTAATATAACTAGCATTGATGTAGTCCTTGTTTTCCCCAAGAGGAACCCGTGTTGAATCATCTGTTACAAAAACAGAAACATCCAGTAGATAAAAGGAAAAGCAGGAGATGCAATACACTCAGACTTCACAAAAGCCTTTCACACAGGTAAATCCATTTCTCTCTTTGAGCAATAGAGAAGATGTCATGGAAGTTTCTTTTCAAAAGGATATTTAAGTTCATAAATTTACATTTTTCCCTCCCAAAACCTATTGCTATGACCTTAGAAATATAGAATTAAGGGAATTTTTTGTTTTGCTTTAAATCAGTTTCCACTAAATAGAGGATACCATCAGTATCCAATCCAGGCACTGAGAGATTTCAGTTAGACGTGGCACAGGTGGGTTTGGATCAAAGAGGCTCCTACTAGTCTGCAGCTGAACAAGGAAAGGAGGAGCCTGCTGACGGAGCAAGTGAACATTATTCTTTTACAAATCGGGAGAATTTGTATACTAGAGCAATACTAGAGTAACAGGGTCCAAGACACAAACGAAAAACAGGCTCTGGTAGTTGATAAAATACAAATACTAGGATTAATGGAATTGTTTCAGTGTCCCCACACAAGGCAGCCATCTTTTATTTTACCCTCAGCCTTCACCTGGTGAAGTAGCTATTACCTGAAGGGTATAGTAGCAACAGGATGGTATGAAAGGGGTTTGCTCCAAGTAACATGGGACTCATTATTATAAATTTAAAAGGGAGAAAAACAGCTCCTTGGGTCACTAATGAAATTCACTGGCCCAGGAATAGTCTTCATCTGGGAAGTCTTCACCACTTTACAAAGATACCTGGGGCTACTGTTACTGCTCCCCACAAAGAGAATAACTGCCCCCAGCAAAGGAGGGTCTCCCTGCCAGCCAGAGGTCTCAATAGCCCCTCCTACTACTTAAAGTTATGTGGAACCGCATACCTAGAAAATATGCTCTGACCAGGATAACTGATCAGGATAACTCACACAATGTCTGACAAAACCCTCCTCAAATTCCAACACAGCAAACATACTCCTCCTTTTGGAATTATGAATATTTAAAGGAAACAATCCACTAGATATAGAAAGATATCACAAGAGGAGACCATTCTGAGAAGTGGCAAATGTTTTCCTTTCTATGAAAGGGAAGAATATCTTAAAAACTCCTACTTATATTTTAAATGAAATCTGAGAGAACAATATTTTATCATTTGAAAGGATAATGCTTAGTGACATAATTATGTCACAAGAGGATTTAGTGAAATCATTCTCTAAGAGCCATCTGTTTTCTGCACAGGTTAAATACATGAGTTAAATGAGGATGTGGTAGGAATCACCACCCCTGAGTCTTTTTAAGACCTTGATAGTAGCACTAGCCTCTGCATTATCTCCAGGGATACAGTATTGCTTTTATTTTACTAATTTCCTAGTAAAGGCAGTTCTCTTGGCTTCCACTTGGCCTTTTTCGCCACAACAGTCCTTATTCCACAGGTCACAGAACCAGTGTGGGGGACTGGCCAGTAGTTATTGAGTATGTGTAGGGTAAAGAAAATGTCAGGCTTTTCTGCCCTTCTGCCATCAGGATAGATGATGGATCCTTGTCCTGAATGCATGCCTGATGGCGGGCACCTGGAATAGGGTGTGGGCATAGGTAGATGGGATTCAGCTGAGTTAAGACTGTGCTTTTTAAGGGCGGCGTCACGGGGACGCCAGCAGCAGCAGCAGCAGCAGCAGCAGCAGCAGCAGCAGCAGCAGCAGCAGCAGCAGGGGACGCCAGCAGCAGCAGCAGCAGCAGCAGCAGCAGCAGCAGCAGCAGCAGCAGCAGCAGCAGCAGCGAGAGAAGCCGAGAAGCAGCAGAACGAACGCTACAGAGTCCAGATAGAGTGAAGACTTGCTGGGGGCTGGGAGGCCTGCCAGCCTCCCAGACCCCAGCCAGCACCCCTGCCTGCCATATGCCTGGTGAACCCCAAATAAAAAACCTGCAAAACTACTGAGGACTCTGACTCCTCCTTTACCCAGTCTGCATGGGATCAGAAAACCTGCACTGTGCCCAGTCCTGCTCTACAGTATGTCTGTTGCTATTATGCATTCCAAAACTAGGAAAATAACTACAGTGAATCAAGACCCATTGGACCCACTGTGAAATGGACCTGAGCTAAACCTCCATCGATTATCTGACCCCCTAATGTGCTTCTCTAGCTGGTAGCCCACAGTGATGATTTGGTTCTCCTGGAATTAGTGTCAGATTAGTGCCGGTATTAGTACTAATGTCAGAGAAGACCCTTCAGGGTTTAGGAGCTTGATGTGGTCATCTTCATATTCATCTTCCCATGTTTCCATTCCAATTTGCAACAGCATTCATTCTCAAGCAATGTCCTAACTTTAACATCCTGCAAAGCTGGGAATTCAATTCCATTGTAATTCTATCCTTTGCAGAATGAGACTCTGGGTTTGATTTTCAGCAGTCTCAGCTCCATATCTACAGAAGGTAAGGGTTTCCTCCAAGGCAGACAAAAATTCTGGGACATTTATGTGGCTCTTGAGCTGGAAATTTGAAACCCTGAGAGCATTCTTTCCTTTCCCACTTTACCCAGTATAATTAGAATCAACCAGTCAATTTCATTATACTTGTTAGTTTGATAAAAAATGTTCTAAGGTATGAAATACACAGGTCATCCAGAACCTTGCTTCATGTTAAGTATTGGAGTAGGAACATCCAATGGTGAGATTTTGTATGTCTCCTCTGCCACATCTCACCACAGATTACCAGTGCTCTCTTTGTCACTGGAAAGAAGAGTCATTAATTTCTTTTAAATTTTATCACATTAATGAACCAATTCATAATACTCCTCTTTAAGATTTTGTTTCTCTAGAACAGAACTACTCTTGGTACCAAAATTAGTATTAATCAGTGTTCTCCAGAGAAATAGAATTAATATAGTATATAGAGAATGAGGTTTATTTTAAGGATTTGGTTCACATGACTGTGGGGGCTAGCCAGCCTGAAATTCGCAGGACAGCTTGTGAGACTGGAGATCCAGAGGAGAGTTGATGATGAGTCTTGAGTCCAAAGGCAGCCTGGAGATAGAATGCCTTCTTCCTCGGGGGACCTCTTTTACTTTTAAGGCTTTCAAGTGATTAGATGAAGTTTACCCACCTTTACAAGGACAATCGGCTGTATTAAAGTCTACTGATTTAAATTTTAATGACATCTAAAAACACCTTTACAGCAACATCTGCACTAGTGTTTGACCAAATATCTGAATACTGGGCCAGTTAAGTGGCCCATCAATCATCACATGAGCTAAAACACCTAGCAGAACATTTGAAAGAGAAGATCTTTCTTGAAACTTCAATTAGTTACCTAGAAAACCAAGTGATAGAAAACAAGAAAAAAAACGAAAAGAGAAAATACATGCAAAAATACCAATAGAAGTAAAGAAATAACTAGAGAAAATATGAAAGCCTTTGAAGGCAGATCCAAGACATGGACCCTACAGGGAGCTCCAGAAAAAGAACAAAGAGTAGACTGAGGAAGAGCAATTACTAAATAACTGAAGATACTTTCCTACTGCTAAAGGAAGATGAGTCTACAGACTAAACAGTTCTATAAGGTTGATGAAATGAAACACACCAGATAACATTTCTGAATTCCAGAAGACAATAAAATGTTGAAGGGTTTGAGGATAAAAGAATGTGTTTCATAAAGAAGTGACATGATTAGTCACTGATCATGATACCCTCTTTTATTTACACAGTGATAAGCTAGAAGTAGAGTATGTATCTTACGTAGTCAGTCATAGTTAACATATCATTACTGAAATTTGAATTGTGTGGTCAAGGGACTGGTATTTATCTAAACATTGTCTGAAATTTATGCATGTAGGAGCCATGCAAAGCGGGAACTGCTGTACTTGCAGTGTCCTGCGCTGTGTGAATTCCCCCCAGTTAGAATGCTCAGCACACTTCAAGAGGAAGAAAAATTATTCCTCTGGCTTTCTTCATGTGATTCTTCAAGAACCTTCTCTATAAATTAAAAAAATGTGTGGCAGAGAGATCAAAGAAACTTTCTATGAGTTATCACTTAATTTGGCTGGTTTTAAATTACACTGAGGTATGAAGTAAATAACTCAGCGGTCTTTAAAATAGAACTTAGTTGAATAATAGTTGATTCTCTTAAGAGAAAAGAAAAAAGCTTACATGATTTTCTTTAGTTGTAATCACTTAACTCTTTTTCATATTTTTGCATCATTTTAGCTGCCATTCTTCTTGTACCGAGAATAAAATGTTTAAGTCAGATCAAATGCTAAATTACCCTATGCCCAATATTCTTATATTCGTGAGATTATAAAATGCCAATTGTATCCAGTCTCCCTGAGGGCTACTTGTACATGTAGGGGTAGGAGTAGATAATTGGGATATTTGAGCTCAGGGTAGGACCCAATTGTTTGCATTCTCTTTTAAAATGTCCAATAGCAGTCCATCAGTCATATTTCAGAAATATTCAGCAATGCACTTCTGCACACTTTCTCCACAAAAGATAGCAAAATAAATTATTATTTTTTTTAACTATCTTGGGAGGGTTACTCATTAAATTTAATATCATAAACTTATTTTAAAGCTGAATGAACCAAGTAAATATGAAGGTGTTTAGCCACAGATAGCCATCACTATGTTCTACTCTGGTATTTATGATAACCACATCAATTCTAATAGGAGAAACAGGAAAGAAAACAGACAATTAAAATACACGTTTTTGGTGAGTGGGAGAAGGTATTCACAAGATGCTTTGAGGAAAACAAGGACCGCCTAAGCAAACTAAATCTGAAAGACAGCAGGGATTACCTCAGCAAAGGGTGGATGGATGGAATCACAGGTTCAAAGGCCTGCAGACAAGAAAAAGAGAATGATAAATTTCAGAGACCAGAGCAGCTCTGTGGGAGTGAGGATAAAGAGATGTAATTTATGGCATGCTATAGAATTTTACCACGATGGTAACAGAAAGCCAAAGAAAAGTTTTAAAAGGATGTTCTGATTTACATTTTGAGAAAATCATTTCTGTAGCTGCTGTTAGTATATGGGACTGGAGGCAGTGAAGACGTCAGATACTAGCTGAGAGATCTAAAAGGCTCAGTCTAAGTTAGCAGAATCGGGAATCAAAAGATGAGGGAAGATTCTAGAGGCATTAAGAGGGTAAAATCAAAAGGATCTAGTGACTACTTTTGGATATTGCCATTTTCTGGCTTGGACAAGTAGGTGCTTATGGCAAATAAGATATAGAGTAAAGGGTGAAGGTCAAGTTGGAGAAAGAAAAATGACACATTTAATTTGGAAAAAAAAATCTATCTTGAAAGGAATGAGAGGCCCTGAATGAGATTTCCTGCCTAAGATTAAAACTGTGCTGTATCTGTTTCTGCTTTTTGGATACTCTGAGACAGATAAGTCCTGTACCTTTGGGTGTGGGGGGAGGGTGGTGTGTGGTATCACTAGCATCACTGAGTAATGTGTAAGGCCCTCTGTGGAGACAATCAAAGAGCAGCCTCCTGTTGGAGGATAGGTTAACAGCTTTGTTGGCCTACACAAAGGATATAAATAGCCGCATTATATTTTTGTCCTTTTGTGTCTAAACAAAGGGATAGGTAGGTAGTCAGGGATCGGGGTACCAAATGTGACAGATGTCTCAGACTATTAGACTTTATGTTTTAGATGGTTTATGACCTGAGAAGTAGCACTGCATAGGAATTAGGCTGAAGGATTGCTATAAATAATTCTCTTATATTGGCTAGAAGTACTACTTGGAATGGAAGATTTGACCTTTACTATGTCCTAGCATATCCAAGAACATGCCCAGGCCACCCACTGCTAGCTATCAGAACTCTTCAACATGGTCATGATCAAAAAGCTTAATACTGAAAGACATACAACCAACTTTTTATCTTTTCCCAAATGTCAACAGGAAAATAATCAAAACCATTTTTAGCTTACATGGAAGAATATCCCGATATCTGTTTTTATCTCTGTTGTGTGGTTCATTCCCAGAGTTGAACTCACCAGGCAGATTCTTACTTTCTAAAGACTTTAAAAGGTAAGAAATATAAGTCATGTATTTACTATAACAAAGACATCAGGTTATGACCTGATGTGAAATGTATTGTATAGAGAAGTCAGAACCCTATTAAGAAATACTATATACAATATCAAATTTGACATGTCAATCAACAAATTGCTTGATAAAATGAATTTCAATATCCTTTTTCATAAAAAAAGGCAATGTAGATTATTCACTTCTTAGGACCTACCCATAAATCTATCATTTTATAAATAAAAATAATAAAATAACATCAACTAAGTTATATACATATAAACAAAGAAATATAAACAGTTTTAAAATGCTTCTTGCCCCACAAAAAACAGTATAGCCAAGATACCAATGAAAGAATTCTTCCTATTAAAAAAAAAAAGTCTTAAATAAATAATCTTACCTAATTGGAATGTTTCCCATAATGGCAATTGTAATTCTAGGTTCTTTTTAGTCAGATCATGCCATTTATCTAAATATGTGCAGATTTTTTAAAAAAAAATTTATTTAAGTAACATGGCACCATAACATTATAAACATTTCAAATATGCATTATTAAAAATGTCTTTACCAAGTATGAATTCAATAAGCATTTATTGAACTTCAGTAATGTACTCAGCACTGTTCTAGATATTGGAGCACACAGATGCATCTGAAATATGCTCATCTTTTTTTTTTTTTTTTTTAAAGATTTATTTATTCGGGTCTCCCCGGTGGCGCAGCGGTTGAGCGCTGGGTGGCGAAGCTGCCTGCAGCCTCTGCAGCGCCAGTTCGATCCCCGGCTGCTCCCCGGCCACTGGAGGAGGGTCCCACATGGCGCAACAGACCTCTCCTGCCGCCCGCTGCTCCCCTCAGCAGTGTACCTCGGTCCTTCTGCCTGCTCTGCTCCCCGCTCTGGCTCTGGTGAATTCTCTCACCCTCCCGCACTTCTGACTGTACCCAGTGCTTGTATAAATAAATAAATAAATCTTTAAAAATAAATAAATAAATAAATATTTATTTATTCATGCATACAAGCACTGGGCTACAGGCCAGGTATACGGGAGGGTGAAAGGATTTACCAGAGACAGAGTGGGGAGCAGAACAGGCAGATCTACTGAAATACACTGCTGAGGGGAGCAGCGGGGGAGACAGGAGAGGTCTACTGCGCCATGTGGGATTCTCACCGGCCAGCTGGGATCAAACCCGCGCTGCAGCAGCTATGGACAGCTTCCAGCGCTGTAATCAACCGCCTGTGCCACCAGGGAGGCCCCATGAAGTGTGCTCATCTTTAAGGAGTTAACAGCACATGGTCAATGTAGAGATACTGGTACAGAGGACAGCACCGGCTTGTACCTGAGGTATGGGAAGGAAAGCTCCAGGAGGGAAGCAGTACTTGAACAGGGCATTCCTGAGTCATCAGAACTTAGCCACATGAGCGTGTATGTGTGTGTGTGTGTGTGTGCACAAGGAGAGCAGAGTGAAGGTGCAGCGCACCATTCTCGGTGGGACAGGAATGTCGCATATATGTCCTCATGGGGAATCCTGAACTGTATGGGAACAAACGCATACAACCTAGTCCAATGAGACTCAAAATTAGCTAGTAAGACCTAGTCTCAGCTATAAAAGAAACTGAGATATATTTATTTCTACTCTACTAATAAATATTTGTGAATAAAACCTGAAAGTCTGTACATTTTAAAAGCTTTTCAGTAACTCCTGAGTAGCCAACTTGGCACTCGGTCATTAAATAATAGTGGTGCTCACAGCCAGTGGGCAACGAGGAGCCAGTGAAAGTTTTAAGAAGTAGGATAATATGGTAAAATTTTCACCTTTTAAATCTTTATGCAAACCAATTCTAAAATTAATCTGAAAAATTCTATAGGGAGAACCAGAATAACTTTGTAGAAGAAGAGTAATGAGTAAAGATGAGTCTTAACAGATGGTAAAAGATAATAAAAGCTATGCTGATTGAAAGTTTGGTATAGTACATGAATAAGCAAATCAATGAAAAATACCCGAAAATAAAATTAAAATACATGTGGGGCTACAGTATATGACATAAGTGACAGTTTATTTTTTTTATTTATTTTTTTTTTTAAATATTAAATTTTATTTTTATATTCCCCCATACAATTGCAAACGCCCCATTCTGACCCCAATCCTTCCCCTCCCGCCCCCCCACCCCCCAAAAAGTGTCTCTGGTTCATAGTTTTTTTGTTGATTTTGATTTTCACTTTCTTATATTCATTTTCCTGGTCCCTTATTTAAGTTTTCTAGATTCCTGCTATGAGTGAGACCATCCGGTATTTTTCTTTTTCTTTTTGGCTTATTTCGCTGAGCATGATCCCTTCCAGTGCCATCCATGTTGCTGCAAATTGCATGTGTTTATCTTTTTTGAATGCTGAGTAATATTCCATGGTATATATGTACCACATCTTCTTGATCCAGTCATCTATTTTTGGGCATTTGGGTTGTTTCCAAAGCTTAGCTATTGTAAACAGTGCTGCTATAAACATAGGAGTGCAGGTGCTCTTTGGAATTGATGTTTCTGTGTCCTTTGGGTAAATACCTAGGAGTGGAATTGCTGGATCATATGGAAGCTCTATGTTTAGTAGGTCCAGAAATCTCCACACAGCTCTCCATAGTGGTTGGACCAGTTTGCACTCCCACCAACAGTGCACAAGAGTTCCTTTTTCTCCACATCCTCGCCAACATTTGTTGTTGCTAGTTTTTTTAATATGTGCCATTCTCACTGGTGTGAGATGGTATCTCATGGTAGTTTTGATTTGCATTTCCCTGATTACAAGTGATGTTGAACATTTTTTCATATGTCTGTTGGCCATTTGCATTTCCTCTTCAGAGAAGTTTCTTTTTAGCTCTTCTGCCCATTTTTTGACTGGATTATTTTCTTTGTTGTTGCTGAGTCTCATCAGCTCTTTGCAGATTTTTGTGATCAGTCCTTTATCATTAGTGTTGGGTGCAAAAATGTTCTCCCAGTTGGTGGGGTTTCTCTTTGTTTTTGTTATTGTCTCTTTTGCTGTGCAGAAGCTCTTTAATTTGATGTAGTCCCAGCTGTTTATCTTTCTCTTCACTATCACTGCTTTGGGTGATGTGTCTGTAAAGATGTCTTTGATGTGCAAATCCCGTAGTGTTTCGCCTATATTTCCTTCTATGTATTTTATGGTTTCAGGTCTTATGTCTAGTTCTTTAATCCATTTTGAGTTGATTTTTGTGTATGGTGTGAGGTAGTGGTCAAGCTTCATTCTTTTGCATGTAGCGACCCAGTTTTCCCAGCACCATTTATTGAACAAACTTTCTTTGCTCCAATGCATAGTCTTTGCTCCTTTGTCAAAGATTAGTTGACCATAAATCTGTGGGTTTATTTCTGGATTTTCTATTCGATTCCATTGGTCTGTATGTCTGTTCTTGTTCCAATACCATGCAGTTTTGATGATTATGGCTTTGTAGTATAGTTTGAAGTCTGGGAGTGTGATGCCTCCATTTCCTTCTTTTTTTTTCAGTAGAGCTTTGGCTATTCGGGGTTTTTGGTGATTCCATATGAATTTCATCAATAATTGTTCTATTTCTTTGAAGAATGCCATTGAGATTTTGATTGGAATAGCATTGAATCTGTATATTGCTTTTGGTAGGATGGCCATTTTAATAATGTTTATTCTTCCAATCCATGAGCAGGGGATGTCTTTCCATTTCTTTGTGTCTTCTTCTATTTCTTTTAACAGTGTTTTATAGTTTTCTTTGTATAGGTCCTTTACCTCTTTTGTTAGATTTATTCCCAAATATTTGATTTTTTTTGTTTCGATAATAAAAGGGGTGGTTTTTTTGATTTCTTCTTCTTCAGATTTATTGTTTGTGTATAGGAAGGCCACTGACTTTTGCGTGTTGATTTTGTATCCTGCCACTTTACTGAATTGATTGATGAGTTGAATTAGTTTTTCTGTGGAGATTTTGGGGTTCTCTATGTATATTATCATATCATCTGCAAATAGTGATAGTTTGACTTCTTCTTTTCCTATTTGGATTCCTTGGATGTCTTTCTCTTGTCTTATTGCTCTGGCTAGGACTTCCAGTATTATATTGAAAAGCAGTGGTGAGAGTGGACATCCTTGTCTTGTTCCAGATCTTAATGGAATTGCTTTCAGCTTTTCACCATTGAGAATGATACTGGCTGTTGGCTTGTCATAGATGGCCTTTATGATGTTGAGGTATGTTCCTTGTATCCCAAGAATTTCAAGGGCTTTTATCATGAATGGGTGTTGCACTTTGTCGAAAGCTTTCTCAGCATCTATTGATATTATCATATGGTTTTTATATTTCTTTTTGTTGATGTGTTGGATAACGTTGATTGATTTTCGGATGTTAAACCATCCTTGTGCCCCTGGAATGAATCCAACTTGGTCGTGGTGAATTATCTTATGGATACATTGTTGGATTCTGATAGCTAAAATTTTATTGAGGATTTTTGCATCAGTGTTCATTAGGGAGATTGGCCTATAGTTTTCCTTTTTTGTGTTGTCCTTATTCGGTTTTGGTATTAGTGTAATATTGGCTTCATAGAACGTGTTTGGTATTGTCCCTTCCTTCTCAATTTTTTGGAAGAGTTTGTGAAGGATAGGCACTAATTCGTCTCTGAATGTTTGGTAGAATTCATTTGTAAATCCATCAGGTCCTGGGCTTTTGTTTTTGGGGAGGTTTTTAATTACCATTTCAATTTCGCTGCTTGTAATTGGTCTGTTTAGGTGTTCTATTTCTTCTTTATCTAGCTTTGGGTGATTGTAGAGTTGTAGGAATTTGTCCATCTCCTCTAGATTGTTGAACTTGTTTCCATATAACTGTTCATAGTAGTTACTGATTATTCTTTTGATTTCTGCTGTGTCCGTTGTGATTTCTCCTCTTTCATTTATGATTCTGTGTATTTGTGCTTTCTCCCTTTTTTCCATAAGTGACAGTTTAAATGACTAAAGAGAAATTTTAAGAGGCTATTGGGACAACTAGATAGCTATATAATGCTTGGTATACCAAATATCTTATCTTAAATTAAATTCTAGGTGAATCAAAGACTTAGATATTTTGAAAAATAATAAAAGTATTAAAATACTTTTAATATTTTATTTAAAAATATGAAATAGTTATTATTATGATCCTAGAGTGAAAGGGGCATTCCCAAATACCACAGAAGAACCTGAACTACCAATCAGTTAATATGACCCTGCCACATTAACCACTAACGATTAGCTATTTCTTCTTAGTAAATGTGTGGGTGTGCACACACATGTGTAACACAACCAACAAAGTGTAAAATTTTACCACACAGAACACAAACGAAATGGGTGATTTCTTCTTTATATAAAGAGTTATTGATTGAGTTATTGATTGGAAAATGTAATAAAAAGTTGGGCAAAGAATGGGAACTAGCAGTTCACTGAAAATAGGCATGAAAGGCTTAAAAACATATGGAAAGCAATTCATTTGTTCTCAAATAAAGAAATACCAACCAATCATCAGCAAGAAAGCATTTGTCATTTAAGAGATGAGCAAAGTTCCAAAATTTTAATAGCACATAATACTATCTTTCTAGGAATTTGTTCTGAAGAATACTTACATTCTCAGGCGTATGAAGGATAACTGTTGTTCATAATGATAGCAAAAACTAGAAAAATCTAAATGCCCATCAAAGGGGACTGCTTAAAGAAGGTCTTTATCATATAATTAACTACCATGTAACATGCAACACTTAAAAAGAATGTGATAGAGCTATCCATGCTGATAATACAGTTAGAAATCATTTTGAACGCAAATTTGTTTTTAAAAGGAAACAAAGGGTGGAATAGTGACAAGTCCAATAATTTTATATTTTATATGTAAGTTGATATGACAAAAAGTTGATATGACACAAAGTCAGGAGAAAGAGAGAATATCCATTTTATAGCCTTTTTGGCTACCTGACTTTTGCTACATACTCGTATTACTTTAAAAACAAATTTTAAAAACATGATTATCAACATATTTAATCTGAATAACAGAAAAAAAAACCTCCCCCATAGTAATGTGGAAACAGAGCACATAGAGGCTTTATTAAAAGGAAAACATTTACCAAAAACTCCTCGTTGATCTCACTTTCTATTACTTTTTTCTGAAACGTTTTTATATATTCGTTGATGGTTGATTGCTCATAAGACGTGAATATGAATGGTCGAACCTGAGCCAACTGATCTAGTTCCACTTCAGTAACAATTTGCATGTCTAAAAAAGGTGAAAAATTTGTATTTGTAAGTTATTTGTATATATGTGAAAGGAAATTTTGTTTCTGTTGCTTTCCCTTTAAAAAGTCACTTAAAAGTTACAAATTTATTTCACCAGAGAAGGGTCTATTACTTTGAAAGAAAGAATGCCATTTTTGGAAATATCATTGACTACCTACTTTTAAGAACAAAAACTCACTATTCTTGGAGAAAACTGTTCAGTGCTATAAATACAACAGATGCAGTGGGCTGATAAATGTTCTGTTGTACAATGTTAGTTGGGTTTATGAATTGACAGTTATTCCAAGGTAAGCACAAATAAGACTTGGATGAGAAATAGAAAGAACTTATGCCCTCCCTGGGACCAAGTGTTTGGAAGCCCCTAGAGTCAGAGATGAAAATGTAGAGAGTCTAATACACCTTATTTTAAAACAGATCAAGTGTGTACACACACACACACACACCCCACATACAATCCAAGTACAGAATTTATATGATGCAATATTTATGACTAAAAAATATATAAATATACCATATAAATATGGTATCTATATATGAGATATACTATATACTATATAATACAATATAAAACATAATACAACACAACTATGTTACGTAATATATTTCATTATACACTTATAAATAACAATAATGGAAAAGAATACATTCTATTTAATAGTACATATAGAATCTTTTTTGTAAATAACAACATTTTAGGTCACTTGACAATTTAGATTCCAAATATCTGAAATTTTATAGATCATATTCAAGCCAAAATGTGATAAAGCTACAAGTGAATATTAAAAGATTATTTCAAAAACTTTTGAGGTAAAATAGTCATGTAAAATCAGTTCTTAGAGGATTTTTTCCAAAGCCAAATATGAACAAACACCATGTTAATGCCAGAAAAAAATATACAAAAGCAACTCAAAAACAGGCACAAAAAGTGATGGAAGTTTATAAGAATTTGCCCTGGGAAATTCATCTTGTCTTGGAACCCTACTATTCCCAAAAAGCTCTTGGTAGGGTTGGAGGTGAGAGACTCTTGGCTGCAAGAGACAATCAAAGTAATCTTAAAGTCTTGCGTAATCTTAAAGTCTTGCAAATACATCTACATTTAGTATGAGAGGTGGTCTAGGAAGTCTAGAAGGGGTGGAAAGACTCCCACAAGAGTAAAAGCCATTTTAATCATCTTGGACTCCTAACACAAGGAAAAGAAACCTTAATAGCTTCCCACTGTGTCCCAGACTTAGCTACAAAAAAAAAAAAAAAAAGAGAGAGAGAAAGAAGATGGAGAGAAAAGGCATTTGCAGCATTTTCAATAGAAAATCATATTTCCCCATTTTTAAGTTTTTCCTAGTTTTTTCTTGCATTTATTTTAGAAACTTCTTTGTGCATACTTCTGTAGCTCAGTATCCTTAAGAGTCTGCTAATAAAAATAGGGTCAAATCCTACCTTCAAGCTGTGGGTTGGACATCCGGGAAGTTCCTGCAAGCACTTCAGACTCACTGCTCCAAATGCCTCTTTGATAGGAGACATTGGTCATCCATGAGCTTGGCTCACTCTCACTAGAAAAGAAATTTTAACATTTGCTTATGGTTTTTCAACAAATGTACACACTTAAAGAATCTCTGATAATCTATATTAATTATTCAACTGGCATTCACCTCCATTCAGTTCAGCTATCTACTTCCATTGTGAGCACTGAGAACTGGCCCACTTCCAAAGAGATAATTCCAAAGTCCAATGTTTGATCACAAACTCCGTTTTCGCCCATGTGTTTACTTGGCTTGCAAATTAGTTGTTTTGGATCACCTATTCACCTTCCTTCCTCCTTTATCCTAGGCTGTAGGAGAAAAGCACTGTGGTCCTGGGGTTTCTAATATGAACAGAGAGCCACTTGGAGAACACTGATGGGCTCCTCCTGGGCTTTCTTTACCTTTCCGCCACTGCAGCTAATTTGGAACGAGAGCCCTCATGTAGACCCCATCTCAACTCTGCTTTTGTAAAAATGTAGCCCTTCTAGAAAATGCAAGCCAGAAACTCTGAACTCTGTCAACTTACTCTCTTTAAAGTGTATATTTAGATGGATTGGCATTCTTCATTACTTGGTACACTCCCCCTGTTCAGATTTAATCCTTCCATGTTCTCAACACCAGACCTTCTGTCTTTGAGAGATTTTTTAATTTATTTTTTCACATCGTATTAATCTCTCCCTATCTACAAATTCTTCCACATTGTGAGAATACTCTATTGTTCTTCATCTTAAAAAAAAAATAAACTATCTCTATGTAACTATAGTTCTATCTCTTATTAGATTTTTCAATTATTATCCCACATTCACTTTCCATTTCCTTTCCAATTTCTCACTAATTAATTGACTCACTTATGCTAAATGCTGTCACTTATGTTACCTGCGACTCCACTTAACAAATGCATCTTAACTTAATTTCTGGTTCTAAAATCCAATATAAAGAAAATTCTTCCTAAAATTTAAATTTCATTACATCTGCCCACCAACTCAGTTTTACCTTAACTCAACACTGCCCTCTTCTAAGAGCTCCAAACACATATAAAAAGATTGGAACTGTGAAACTGTTACGATAATAGAGGAATTGAATTCTTTAGAAAGATCTTTTTCTTGTGTTAAAACCGTACTTATGAGATCATAAATATACTCCACTTCATGTCAAATCAGGTCATACTTACTACAAAGAGCTGTATCTTAAAATGATTAAAAATTTGAGGATCATTACTCACTGTATCCACTCAGAGGATTAGCTATAAATATGAATAAACAGAAAACTCACTAAATATATTAATGATACCTTTCTGTGTCCTCTTTATAAAGATTCTTATATTTACTATTTTGAAAGTTCGGAAGATAGAAATTTGCATTCTCTGAGTTAATTTCATCTTCAAAAACCTACAGATATAAGGAAACAAAATTATGGCTATGATTTTAGGATAGATTGAGAGAAATATGATCACTATAGCTCCTTAAGAAGAATACGGTCTTCAATAATAGAGTTAAAACCACAACAGTGCTACTACTATTCTTAGAAATCACTTGAAATGTGCATCTCCCTATTAAGTATTTTCTAATCTGTCAATACAAAGTATACAGTAATATGCACATACAAGTGATTTTTATGGAATCACTCATATTATTTTTCAAAAATTGATTAAAATAGCTTCATTTTTTCTTAAAAATATTAACAGAATCCAGATCAGATTTTGTAAAGACTGCTTATCACATTTAATTTACAATGAACATAAAATTCCTAGCACTATATTTATCAATATTAATCTAACCCAGTAATTCTAAGTATGTCTCTGCCACTGAGATTTTGTGATGCCTGAGAGAGAGACTTGACTTTGTTGCATTTGAAACTTCCTTTTTTTTTTTTTTTTTTTTTTGTGGGACCCTCACAGGAGGCTGGGGAATGAACCGGCACTGCAGAAGCTGCGGGCAGCCTCGCAGCCCAGCACTCAACCGCTGCGCCACCAGGGGAGGCCCCATTTGAAGCTTCTTGTAAGGTACCTGGTCCACTGGTAAACAAAACTGAATATATTTAAGGAGGAAAAAATTACAAAATAAAAGATTCAGTAATCAATATTTATTCCTCAATTTTGCTTCGATTAATCTACTCATTCATTTGACATTTCTTTTCTTGGGGCCTAGTATGTGCAGATACTATTAAAGGGCTACAGATAAAACACTCAACAAGAAAGGCATATGTTCTTCCCTTGTGGAAAACATAAATTCTAATCAAGAGAGAGAAAACACACCAGCAAGCAAATAAAAGTCACAAATGAGCTTTGTGTTAATAAAGTAACAGAGAATGGTGATACACAAATTCCACGTTCCTAAAAGGTAAAAGGAAAGGCTAAGCAAAGAGGTAAGGAAGTATTCTGAGCAAAAGGAAGAGCAGGTCCAAAATCCAGGAGGACTTCCATGGTCTGGTCTCTACCTAATTTACCACCTCATGCCATTCTATCGCTCATGCAGTATTTCTAGCCACAATCTAAGTCCTGTCTTTTCATCCTTTTTTGAAATGTCTTTCAATAACTTTGATTCCATAAAAACTTATTAATCTTTTCCCCTCTTGCTCTGTGTGTGTGTGTGTGTGTGTGTGTGTGTGTGTTTTGCTTAATTCCATGAAACTTCCTAGCTCTGGAATACCTGTTGTGGGCTATCATTCCAGAACATGGTTTAATCAATTTCAAAACCAAGCATATATTATGATAGATATTCTAGCTACACCAGCTCTCCTTTATTAGAATTGCTCTGTGTATTTTAGTATTTGAATTATTTTACTTTGTAATATCAAGGGAAAATGCCCCCCCACAAAAAAGAGTCCTTCTCATAAATCTACATAGATGACCAACAAATTAAATGACTTAGACCTGAAAATTAGTTTATTAACACTAATTGGTAAGGCAAGTCCCTAAAAATTAAATTCAGAATAATGAAGAGTACAGAGATTGTGAATGAAATGGATGGAGGAAAGGAAGTGAGAATCATATCACACCAACATGATCCCTCTCATCTCCAAGAAGACACGTGTAAATAACCATTTGTATAGAATTCATTTACTAAGAAAAGTGACATCACCTGAATGAGAAGTCACAGCACAATTTAAACCCAAGACATATTTCAAGTCATGCTTCAAAATCAACTCGATTATATTTATCAAAGCAGCAAACTGCTCTAGATGGCTGCAATTCAAATTAAAGGTTCGCTGAGGACTCTAATATGTCTTTCAATGAAATGTGATTTCACTAACAATGCCAGCAAGGCACAAAGAGAATCATACTAAATTACCAAGGTGCCAGGTCTTTTTAGAGACTGATCACTGAATCAAATTATGTCAAGTTAAAGAAAAGGCTAGATAAATGTTTCCGAGGAGCCCAAGTTAGTTTTTCTGAACTGCATATGCCGAGGATTTATGAGAGCAAAGTGAAAACAGTAATACCAGGAGATAGAAGCCTGGTTTCTAGTCTTTTCTGTGTGGCTGAAGAGATATATGAGCGCAGACAAAACATCAGCTCTCTAGGACTCAGTTTTTTCACCTCTAAAATGAATGCTGGACTAAAAATTTCTTGATCTATCCTCCAAACCTAACCATATACAAGTCTATTAGTCCACACAATTCCGAGGGATACATCATAACCAAAAGGGCATCAAATGCCTATTACATCAAGTGAATTACTTCATGAAATATAATAGCAAATTCTGGTAAAATCAGCTAATTTTTTTCCCACACACTCTAAAAACTATCCTAACTAAAAAATATCCTAAGATACTTTTTTTTCCGAAAAGGAATCTTTGATAGCACATCAAAACTCATCCTAGATAGGTTCAGTCATAAAATATAGGGGGAAACCCAAACCATAAAATGTACTCAGTTCAAGAAAGGAGTAATTATGTGGTATATGAAGGATCTGCTCTATTCTATGACATTGCTCACTTCCACATCATCTCTCCCTCAGAAAATTACTGTGATGAGAGAAAAGTATCAACGGGGGGACTAAAAGGCCAGCACCACACTGAGAGTTAGAGGCTGCCAGTCAAGAGATGTGATGGTGGCCTTCACCAGCCACCTTAAATAGCACAAGGGTGGACAGATTCCTACAGAGAGAACAACCAAACTACAGTTTTATTTTCAAAGCAGCAGCAGATTTGGGTGAAGGTGGCAGTCAAACTGGGAAAGTGGGAGAGGCAGAGATTTACCTCTATTTACATTGGAATTTACAAGAAGTGAGTATAAGGACAGTAAAATGATACAAGTCCCAAAGTTCCAGTAGATCAGTTAAGAAGGGAATAAAGCAAGGCACACAAAAGATGTAAATGCTTCCTTCCTGACAGTATCTCCACAAGGAAGGTAAAATGTCCATGTGAGAGTTTTTACCTGATTTTTTGCAACCCTCTCCTTTTCCATAGTCCAGACACACTGCACCACGCTGTCTCTATCAACTAAAAATACCAACATCAGTATATTGAAAGCTGCTTGAAATTGTATGTAAAATTCATCTTGTATCCCTATTAGTAGCACAAAATGAAATTAGATGTCAAAAGAAAGTATCAAGGATAAGGCCTCCCTGGTGATACAGGGGGCTAAAGTCTCAGTGCTATCAAACTATTGCCAGCCACTGGGCATAAGTTCGATCCCTGGCCAGGGAGCTAATCCACATGGTGCAGCAGACCTCTCGTCTCCCTCGCTGCTCCTCTTACCACCCGCACATCTGGCCTACACCCTAGTTCTTGTATGTATAAATAAAAATAAATATTAAAAATATATATCCTGGATAGCATCAAAAGGAGTTTTCTTTAACTTGTGAAATGTCCCAGTCTTTCAAATCCCTGTTTTGGTCATTTTTAACATCAGAGTGTCTTGGAATTGGGAAATCATTCTATTAATGAGAACAAAATGGACACCTGTTCCTTAGAGTGCTTCATAAGTGATATAGCTATTACCAGTCAATTAGCAGAGATTCCTCTTCTAGTTTTACCTCATAAGCCACTGATCTAGTTTTCTTTTTCTGATTTGATGAAGGCATAGGGTTCCAAGATTTCCGGTCTTTCTTATCAGAGTCATCTCCCTCCTTATCTTTCCCTGAACAAAGAAAAGGGAAGAAATTGATCAAATACTGACAGAAAGGTTGACCCTAAATGAGAAAAGCCAAGCTACATGAAGGGACTGTTAGCCTAATTTTTCGCTTTTGGAGTCATCTCATCTTTATCATCTATATTAATTATTTTTCTCCCTGTTTTGAAAAAGTAATTTAGCAAAGATGATTATAGAATTTTAGAATTATTCTCAAGAAGTTGGTATTTTGGTTGTTTTTTGTTGTTGTAGTTTTTGCATAGACCTGGGGTGAGAGGATTCATCAGAGACAGAGTGGGGAGGTGAACAGATGGATCTCTGAAATACATTGTTGAGGGGAGCAGTGGGCAAGACAGAAGAGGCCATAGTAGTGATAGCGCTGAGACTTAACCCCTACGCTACCAGGGAGACCCGCAGGAAGTTGGTGTTTAACAGGCCGTTTGTTCCTACTGCCATGTTATTCAAGAAAGCACTTTTGAGGTAAATTCTAAACATATTCAACCAACAGAACTATGCACTGGGATCTACAGAATAAAATTATTCTTTGTTTCAGAGTCTTGGAAAAAGAATAGTGTGTCAAATACATCTCACTTTAATATCTTGTATTATTAATAATAAATTAGCAATATATTAATAAATAAAGAACATTGTTTTAGTCTTTATTGATTAACATAATAGAAATCATCCCTAGGAAACTATTGCTGGTTTTATTACAGGACTGTTGCTAATTATTCTGTTAATTTCACTGCACAGTCTATTTTTCTCAAATTTTATTAATTTGTCAGTCATGTACATAACTATATAATTTGGGGGATACAACTTTATACCTCCATATGTGTACATGCTTGAGTCACTGTCCACCAAAACGCCTACGCCAAAGAACTATCCCCTTACCTTCCTATTTCCTCCTTCCTCCCTCCCTAAACGCTCTGGTTAAAGCATTTTTCACAGAATCTAAAAAGTATTTTTGCTTTACTTTATCAGTTTGTTTTCTTTAGTTGTTTATACTTCACAAACGAGCTCTACTGAGTCAAAACAGTTTGTGAATACAGCACAGTTAGTTACAATAAGAACTAAAATACTAAAGTTGTAGGTCATAAGTTATAATAGAAATTATTAATTTATTATCATTTTGTTAAGCTGGCTAAGAGGATAGGTTACAGTTCCAATGCCACAAAGAGCATTCATATTTTACTTCTAATTCAGCAAACTTATTTCAAAATGCATTTCCTAGTGGATGATACATACCCTCTTCCTCAAAATGCTCTTTTTCAACCTTCTTTAACTATCCTCTGATTATCTAATGAGTTGAATAAATTACTTGAGACAAGTCCTTTCTATATATGTGTGTGAATTTCCCTCTAATATAATACAGTTAAATGAACTCACACTTAAATGCAGAGTGATTTTTCAAGCATAATTTTTAAGCTACAAAGAGGATTGTGTCTACTTGTAAATAATGCATTGGATCATTTTGTCATATATTACACTTTCAAGATTTGATTCAAGTAAATGGAGAACCCTCATGTTCATTACACTGTGCTTCTCTAAAGGAATGCAGGGCTCTGTTAACTTTTTTTTAAACTAAAACAAAACCTTGCTAGATGAATAGATCCACTTTTCTTTTTTGCCTATGTCAGACAGTTTCCTCTCATAATTTATACAATAAAATGGTATTTATTGTCATAACGAGATCTTATTGTTTAGTTAGATTTTACATGAAATAGTCTAGCAACCTCTCAAGAGGCTGTCTTATATAATTCTATCATAACTGCATGGGTTTGTATTAGACAATAATAACTTCATTACTGAACAGCATAGGACTTTAACAAGTGAAATTGTTAGGGGGAAAGGATGTCCTGAGTTAATCCCATACAGGTTTTGTGGACCCCACCCCCACTCCAGACTAAAGCCATCAAGACATTGGGAAAGACAAATCCCATCACCACCAAAGTGAGGGTGGCTGGGACCTGAGGGTGGAGTTGGACAGCCAGTGAGATAATTTGATGCTATTCTCATTCCAGAGCACATTCCTTGATATGTGACCTGTTTTAATCATCCTCCCCTGGAAGCTTTGGGAACTTTCCCCTGTGTTTAGAAATTCCAAAATAATGTACCTTGATGTGATGTTTCTTTTTCCTTTCATTTTAAAAAACAAACACGTGGGCCTTGGGGGGCTCGCTATCGCTCGCCTCCTGACTACACAGCTCCTGGCTTGCAGCCAGCTCTCAGAGCGCCATTTTGGAATTCCTGATTGGCGGATCAGGTAGGACTCATTTAAAACTTTGTCTCCTACTTTTCTCCCTGAGCTGTACATTTCCTCATTTCCCCTTCCCTTGTAAATAAACCTTTTATTAACCTTTTAGGTGTGCCTGCAGTAAAGCATTGATAAGTCCTTTTAAGTGCGCGGGTGAGGACCCACAGTCAGGCACCCCGTTTTGTATCGGGGTTGCTCTACAACAAAACCAGAGTCTCCCTGTAATCCTTGATCTGCTTCCTCAGTCTGAAACACCTCAGAGTGCTGGGGTCCTTTCCCAATAGCTCTGGAAATATTTTCACACTGGTGTATTATCTACTGTTAGGTTCTCTTCTCCAGAATGAATATATCTACTTTCCAATTCCACTCCTTTAATTCCTTACTTATTCTACAATGAAAATAAATATGACACTTACTTCATGTCTGAGAAACCCTTTATTCTGGCTTCCAGTGAGATAATTTGATGCTATTCTCATTCCAGAGCACATTCCTTGATATGTGACCTGTTTTAATCATCCTCCCCTGGAAGCTTTGGGAACTTTCCCCTGTGTTTAGAAATTCCAAAATAATGTACCTTGATGTGATGTTTCTTTTTCCTTTCATTTTATTGCATACTTGAACTCACTCTCAATCTACAAACTCATGTCCTTCAGCTTTTCTTTAATAATTAGCCCCTCAATCTTCATTTTCTCCCTGGATTCCTAGTAAATGCAGGTTGTCTTGTACTCATTCTTTAACCATCTGTTTTTTTTCTATTTCTTTATCATTTTGTTCTAGTTTCTGAAAGACATATCCAACTTTATCTTCAACTCTGAATATTTTTTTTCTGCTAACACTTGACAAATATTTAAGAGTTCTTTTTTGTTTGTTGAATAGTTCTTGTATTAAACATCCTGCTCATGTTTCTCCATATATAAATTTTCCATAAATCCAAATTGTTAATCTGTCATTTCTTAAAGGATGACAGTATAGAAACTGCAGATTAATAGTGCCCCTTTTATTCTCTGATTTCTTCCAGTAAGAGCAGCTCTAAGATATTATCAACAAACATCGATTAAACATCTAAATAACATACTACTAATCTTGCTTAAGCAAAGAAAAAAATACTCAACTTTAATCCTCAAGGAATTTGCACTTCAATAGGGAAATATGTAAATAACTTTAATATGCCACAACAAGAAAGTCCTCTAATAAGAATATTAATAAAGCCTTATGGAGTTCAGAAAAGCAAATACAAATTCCGGCTGGAATTCTAAGAAAACTACATACCTCTTTAATAAATGATTTTGGGATTAATTAATTTGAAGTAACTTGGTTCTTGTTTTTTCTATCTGTATCTTTTTTTTTACTTTAAATTCATGTATATATTTAACTTTTCAATTTTGCAAAGCATTTTGCTTCTTTGAGAAGAGAGCATTCACTAGGTGGCAATAAAGAACAAAACTATGAATTTCTATAACATAATGTAGTAGTGCTTGGATAAGAAAAATATAGATTCTCAGAATCTCTGCCAATAAAATATAAGAATTGCTTTGTTCCTTAAGAAAACCCACCCAGTTTGGCCATTTGCATATTAATTTGCAAATGTCTTATGTAAATAGGTGTCTCACCTATCTTTCTGTGTGCTCTTTGTCCTTTTCATGAAACTAAAATAAAAACATGGAGTATTTAGAATAAAGAAAAGCTAAGTCAAACTGCATTTTAAAATATTCCAAGAATTTTTATAATGTCAACAGATTCTTAAATAGAAGGTTTTAGAAGGTAATTAACTGATAGAACTGTTAATGTAGTTAACTGCTCAAAAAGCAAAAATTTCAAACAGATTTTTTTTTAAAATCAAGCTAACACATAGGGAAATCAATAATCCTGAACAATAATCAGAGAAACGTAAATTAAGCTAAACTCAAAGCATCATTCTATAACAACCAGATTAGCAACATTTCTTCTTGCTGTAAAAATACCATATAATGGTACAGTTACAGTATAACTGGTATACTTCTGGGAACAAGATTAACCTCTTTTGGAAGATAATATGGCAATAAGCACCCAAAACCAAAAATCTATAAGCATTAAAACATTATCAATACTAATGTCTATAATGGAAGAGAAAAAAACTAGAAATAGCCTATGTGTTATGGATAAGTAATACCACAATGAGAAAGTTGCTTCGAGTCTTTCAAAGTGCAAAAATGGAACCAGACGGATAGACTCGTGGAGTCAGCTGCAGGGCAGAGAAGAAGCCAGGTAAGGACTACTCTACGCAGAACTCTGGCATAAACCTCTAGGAGAGGGAGCACCACTGATGGCAAAGGAAGGCTACAAGAGGGAACAAAAGTTGAGCTGAACGTGGAAGGAATGAGGAAAGGTATAAAAGAAATGATCAAAAGTGAGGTATGAAGCAAGATGATGACATTATGATCTGGTTGGAGGACAGCTGACATGTAATTAAAACAGTGCATTAATATAAGTTACCAAAAGATATCTTTGCATTTTTGTATTTTTACATATCTTCCAAATTTTCTGTAATAAATATATATTACATTGATATGGGGAAAAATGTTATTTGAAAAGAGTAAAATGTATCACAAGCGTCTACTCCTTACTACTCTAAGTGTTCTGCAGAACCTTGGGTTCTACCATAGACCAGTAAATCAGAGAATCTTTAAGTTAACAACCACCCAAGTGGTTCCCACATATTTTACAGTACAAGAAGCATTGCTCTGGATCCTCCTTCTCCCGACAACCCCCAAAGTGTGCAAAAATAATAGAACCTACCAGACCCTGCTACGGTTTTCCTGAATGAAGACATGTTATACCCATTCCCAGATGAGAAGGGTAAAAGGCTTCTGCAGGTACTGAGTCTGTGTTCTGAGAGTTGGGCAGAAGGTCTAGTGGTAATTCTGGAATGAGTGCATAATTGTTATTTACCTGGTCAACCAATGAAAAGGAATTTCTATTAGATATCTTCAGTTTTCACACTGTTGACATATTATCACTGATTCATTCAGTCACTGTCACTGAGTTACTTAATTCTTTTAATGCTCACACATAAGCTGAATTAGATGCTGGGGATTCAATACTGAATAGATAAGAATTAACCACAGAGCTTATCTTCAAGAAGTTCATGCTCAATCCATTAAAAAAAGTCCTGACACATCAAATAAGCATTTTTTCTTTTCTAATCTTTGCCATAATAGGTCTATAAGCTCATGTTATATTGCTCCCATTGGTTTAAATCTAAAGTATTTTTTGTCTGGTGACCTTTCTATTAGCTATATGTATAGGAGTGGAATTACTATAATAAATCTAAAAGTTAATATTTTGGCACATATATACTTTACAACTTTGAGATACAGGATGTTAAGAAAGAATATTTAAAACATGAATGTGAGGCAAAAAAGGAGGTGGCATGTCCTTTCAGTGCTATATGAGGCTGATGTTTAGCAGGCCTTCTCAAGGATTATTATTGTGTACAGAAGTTCTATATTCAATTCATTGCTTATTGTTGATTAAAAGTACTAAACTTAGTGAAATTACATGTTCACCTACAGATTTCTGTCCAGTAGGAATACAAATAATTTCTGTCTGACAGAAAAACAATACCCCAGGGCCTCCCCGGTGGCGCAGCGGTTGAGCGCTGGCTTGCGAAGCTGCCTGCAGCCTCTGCAGCACCGGTTCGATCCCCGGCTGCTCCCAGGCCATCGGAGGAGGGTCCCGCATGGCGCGCAGACCTCTCCTGCCACCCGCTGCTCCCCTCAGCAGTGTGCTTTGGTCCTTCTGCCTGCTCTGCTCCCCGCTCTGGCTCTGGTGAATTCTCTCACCCTCCCGTGCTTCTGACTGTACCCTGTGCTTGTATAAATAAATAAATCTTTAAAAAATAATAATAATAATACCCCAAATTATCATTTTTTTTGCCCTGAAAACATGGTCCACATTTTTTAAATCAAATATAACATTCCTACTCAAACATTCTTACAAAATACCTATTAAAAAACTTAGACCCTCAAAATACCTATTAAAAAACTCAACTACCTTTGCTACCAACCTGGCGCCTTCATTGAATAAAGTATTTAAACATGGTTTAATTTCTAATTTTAATGAGTCATGTTTTGAAATTTTTTGAAAAGTCTACTTTGACAAGAAAAAAAGGACAGCAGTGGCCTTATATCTGGTATGAGATAAAAGATTTAAGAGATGAGCATCCCCAAAGAACACTTGAGAAATTAAATGCCTCATTGTAAAGCAAAACTACTAAGAATGATACCCAAGCTTCTGCCTCTCTAAATATGATTGGAAGATTTTTTAGTGGTACAATCTTAATTAAAGACAAAATTAATTTTCTTTAGAAATTTTGTCAGATAATTTTAAGATACTCCTAGAAAGCTAAAGATATTCTTACTTATTTAAATGCCCACATCTGAATATAGCACAGGTTGCATTCCACCAATTAAACATAAGACAACAGTGAGTGTATGTCCCCCAAACTTACCTTCTTTATATAAACACACACATACATTAATAAGATCTCTCTAGCACACAGATGAGTAGACTGAAATCCAAATTAATCGATACCACAGTCAGCAGTTTCAAATCTTCCATAAAAGTCAGCAGTACTTCCAGAGCAAACAGCTTTGATCAGAAATGCATACCCACTTCTGGTGTTAGTGCAGTGAGTTTGAGATAATCCTATAGAAACATAAGAATCAAACCAGATGAATTTCTCCTCTCTGACATTTTACCATATTTTAGAACAAACAAACAAAATAATATCAATATTAAGCTGATTAACATTTAACTCAATGTTTGAGTTGCAGCTACTGTAGCAAATCAGTAATAGTGGAAGATTAGACAATTCACATCAATAAATGTGTACAGAAGGCCAGACAGCTGTCTATAAACTTTTTCAAAATAAATTATGTAATAAATACAGAATCTTTATTTATTATAAAGTAAAAGTTGTCAGGAAATAAAGTGAAAACTTCCACCACATTACCTACCTCCGCCAGGATTGGCTAAGTCCTCCTCCCATTATACTTACTGATTTTTATAATGATTGCTGGACTTATCTCCCCAAGTTGGATTATCGGCATCTTGAAGCAGAACTATAAACTTTTCATTTTTACATCTTCTAGACACTCAGATATGTCTAATGGGTTAATTAGTGAAAAATGTTTATGTATAATGAGGAAATCTGCATAATCATGTCAAGAACTCTGGGAAGTCATGAAAGTCAAATTCTTATAATAAAGTGTCCCTTCAATTCCTGAAGAAGGTGTTGTATTAAGGGAATTAACCTTGAGAAAGAGGATACCTAAAAAAAGTATTATTTGCTTTAGGACATAGTAATGAGGAGAGAGGGAAAAAAGCTCCAGTATGGTGCAAAGTGGTTCCATCTGATCATAAGAGGAAGAAAACATAAGAGGTTTGCCCAGCAGCAAAAGCAGGATATTTTTCTTAGGGTTACAGTGACACAGAAGAGCCAATGAATACTATACATATTCTTAGAGCATTATTTTCAGTCTATCTCAAAATCTCTCAAAACTAAAACAGACATTAGCAAAAACTATTTCTTTATAGGACTTCATAGTGGTGCAAAGTGCCAAAATACAGAATTTGAAAAGACATGCTGAGCATGTCATCCTGGCAATGCTGACCTCTAGGGCTGAATCCACTTCCAATCCCTTTGAATGTTCCATTAAGCTCCACTCTCTAAGACTTATAGTGGCCTGACAGAAAGAGAGTGAAATAAACCCTATAGATCAATACTCACCAAGAGAAAAACAAAAATCAAATAAAGAGGAACAAAGGAAAATTCAGACTTCTTAGTTGAAGTGATTCAAGTCAGAAGACAACAGTTAACATTTTTATGTTTTTAAAGATTTATTTATTATGCATACAAGAGCTGGGGTACAGGCCACAGGTGTGGGGGGGATGAAAGGATTCACCAGAGACAGAGTGGGGAACGGACTAGGTAGATCAACCGAAGTACACTGCTGAGGGGAGCAGCGGGCTAGTCAGCAGAGGTCTGCTGCGCCATGTGGGTTGCTCCCTGGCCAGCCAGGAATCAAACTCGTGCTGCAGACGCTGCTGACAGCTTTACAGGCTGCACCACCAGGGAGACCCCAACAGTTAACATTTTTAAAGTGCTGAAAGATAACAACTATCATCCCAGAATTTGATTTCCAGCAATAATATCCTTCAATTATGAGATCAAAATAAAAAATCAAAAAAGAAAAACAGAATTTAGGGCCAGCACACCTGAACTGAAATAAATGTGAAGGAAGTTCTTCAAGAAAAGATATACACATGGAAATTTAACTCTACCTCAAAAATGTGACAAATCCTCAGAAATGATAAAAATACAATTTTTTTTTCTTGTGTTTAATCTCTTGAACGATAGAAGTTCCAACATGCAAAGTGCTAGGAAGTCATCATTCATATCCTCACAACAAAAAAAAGGAGCTGAAGAAACTAAAAACCATTTAGTTCTTAGATCATTTAGAGAACTGCGTTTTAGGAGCAAATCACCACTTGAGAGTCTGAAGAGACAGAAAAATATGAAGAATCATAGCTAAGACTGACTGACTTACAGTAGAAGGTACCAGAGCCAAAAAGTAGTAGAAACACTTAAACAATGACTTTTACAAAGTGCTGGAGGCTGAGTGTGGACTGCTTTGAGAATAAAAATCCTTGAAGAAAAGGTGATAAAAAGGTATAAACTTCCAATTATAAAACAAATATTGGGGATATAATTTACAGCATAGTGATTATAGTTGACAATACGGTGTATATATATAACGATATATACATAACAATGCAGTACCAAATAAATTGTGTATTTCAAAGTTGCTAAAATGAAAGATATGAAATTAACAACTAAGCTCCCACCTCAGGAAATTAGTGAAAAAGTAGCAACATAAATATAAAGCAGGCAAATAAAAGAAACAATAAGAATTAGGGCAGAAATAAATGAAATGGACAACAGAAAATCAATAGACAAAAGCAATGAAATCAAAGCTGGTTCTTGATAAAGATAAACAAAATCAATAAACTAATGGCTAGAGTCAACCAAGGAAAAAAGTGAGAAGATACACATTACTAATGTTGGAAGTGAGTGTATGGTGATCAAGAAAAACCATGTTATCATAACAGCATATGCAAAAAAAAGCATTTGGCAAATTCCAAATTCCTTTCACAACAAAAACTCTCAAAAACCTAACGCTACAGGAGGGGAATTTCCCCAAGTTGATAAAGAAAATCTACCAAAAAATTCTAAGGTAACATAATAGTGTGAAAGTAGATGCTTTCTTTTAAGATGGAAAATAAGCAAGAATGTCCTCTTTCACCCCTCTACAACACTGACGGAAGAAGGTAAAGGTCTAAATAAATGGAGATAATATTACATGTTCCTGGATAGAAAAACTCAGTATTATTAATACCTCATTCTTCCCAATGTGATTTCTAGATTTCATGTAATTCCAATAAAATTCCAGTAAGCCATTCTGTGGTTCTCAACAAAGTTATTCTGAAGTGGAAAGGGCAAAAGACCCAAAATAGGCAACACAATACTGAAGAACAAAGTTGGAACACTGACACAACAGGATTTCAAAATTTACTATAAAGCTACAGTAATCAAGACAGCAGGGTACTAGAAAAATAACAAATAGCTCAAAGGAAAAGAATAGAGGCCAGAAAGACCCATACAAATACATTCAACTGACTTTTAATGGAGCAAAGTTAATTCACTGGAGAAAGAATAATCTTATTGACAAATGGCATTCAAACAATCGAATCTATATATAAACAGAGAATCTTGACAGACTTTATACTTTTCAAAAAGTTAGTCAAATGGATCACAAGCTAAAATATAAAACACAAAACTATAAACATTCTAAATGATAACTGTGGTGGTGCCCAAGGCTACCATAAGTTGGTACACCAAAGGGAAGAAATTCAATGTTGTACAAAAATGAAGAATAATGTAAAATATGTATTTATAAGATAAAAAACAAAAACAAAAAAGAGTACCACAAGTTGATAGTGTCAAATAAATGAATACTCAAAGCTGGACAATAAGAAAACAAATCAGTTTAATCATGGGCAAAAGCTCTAAACTGACACTTCACCAAAGAATATACACAAATAGCAAGTAAACACGTGAAAAGATGCCTTACATCACCCATCATTAGAGCACTGTAGAATGATGAAAATCCAAAGACTAGCAATATCAAATGCTGATAAGGATGTGAACTCAGGAACACAAAATGGTACAGCCACTCTGGAAGAGGTTTAGCAAATTCTGACACTTAAACAAAGTACTGACATGATGCAGCAAATGTTTTCCTAGGTACATTCCAACTGAAACTTATGTCCACACAAAAACCTGCATTCCAATGCTTGGTCAAAAGCTGAGGGAGAATGGGAACTGAAAGCAAACAAGATATATTGCAATAGATAAGTGGATAAACAAACTGGTATGTCTATACAATAGAATATTATTCAATTATAAAAAAGGAATTTTATCAAATAGATATGGAGGAAACTGAAATAAATACTGCTAAGGGAAAGAAGTGAACCAGAAAAGGCTGCATACTGAATGAGTAAAACTATAAAAAACAAATTTTTTATCAGATTGAGACGGATTTTATAAACATCTCCCAGTGTGAGGCTTGACTTTATTCTCTTAACAACATATTTCACAGAACAGAAGATTTTAATTTTAACAAAGTTCAACTTACAAATTTTTTTCTTTCATGGATCATCCTTTTGGTGTTGAATCTAAAACTCACTGCCAACCAGTCACCTAGATTTTCTCCTATATGATTGCTGTGGGTGAACTGTGTTCCCTAAAAAGATATTTTTAAGTCCTAACCCCAATTACCTGTGATGTGAATTTACTTGGAAATAGGCTCTCTGCAGATGCCATCAAGTTAAAATGGGGTGCTAAACCAAAGACTAGTGCCCTGGTAAAGACAAGGGAAATTTGGACACAGACCCAGAGAAAGAAAACTATGTGACAAGAGGGGCAAAAGCAGGAACGTTCTATCTACAAGCCAGGGAACATCAAGGATTCCTGGTCATCGCCAAGTTAAGTAGAAGCAAGGAAGGATCCTCTGTCCAGCCTTCAAAGAGGGCATTGCCTTGCTCATACCTTAATTTCAAAATTTTGCCTCTAGAACTATTAAAGAATACATTTCTGTTTTGTAAGCCATCCAGTATATCCATCATAGTACATACCTTTGCTATGCCAACCCTGAGAAACTAATACATATTTTGGTACCAGAAGTACTGCTGCAATAAATACCTTTTAAAAGTGTGGAAGTGCATTTGGAATTATGTAATGGGTACAGACTGGAAGAGTTTTGAGGTACATGACAGAAAAAGCTTAGATTGGGCCTCCCCAGTGGTGCAGCGGGTTGAGCGCCGTGCTGTGAAGCTGTCTGCAGCCTCTGCAGCACGGGTTCGATTCCCGGCTGGTCAGGGAGAAACCCATATGGTGCAGCAGACCTCTCCTGCCCCACCTGCTGCTCCCCTCAGCAGTGTCTTCGGTCCATCTGCCTGTTCTGCTCCCCGCTCTGTCTCTGGTGAATTCTCTCACCCTCCAGCGCCTCTGACTGTGTCCCAGTTCTTGTATAAATGAATAAATCTTAAAAAAAAAAAAAAAAAGAAAAAAGCAAAGAAAAAAG